TGTTAAAAAAAAGAATATAATTTAAAGCATAAATAAACAAACCATATATTTTTATTGAAACTTTAATAAACTATATGAAAATAATTTGTAGTAGCTTTGGCATTTGATTATAATTAATGTTAATAAATATCAGAAAAGACACAAGCCACTGGCCAGATGATGTCCGCAGCCATTTTCTTTGCAGTTAATGAATTTATGAGCGGACACATTGGCCTAAAGCTTGTCCTTATTTGCATAATCAAATGCTAATATTTTTAAGTGCCGGGAAAGCTCATCTTCATGAATATATTAGCCAAGCGAACCATAGGTAATTAACGATGCTTAACACATTAAGAAAAAATTAAGATTATGTCAGCTTCTCTAAGACGTGGCTGGCTGGCCGGGCATGATGGAATAAAGAAGATAAATATGATTTCATTGGTTCCCCATCTTTCGTAGCGAATTTTCAGAGCTGATTTACTTAAATTGTTTTTAGCAGAATTTATTGTCTTATTTTTTTATCTATCCTCGATTAAAAATTTATATTTTTTGTGTGCACCTTGAAATCAGTAGCCGTTTGTTTTAAAGGAAACTAGACTGATATTCGAATCCAACGGTATAGAGTTCATCCTCTAATCACTTCCTTATAATTTATGGTGATTTTCTAAACTTACTGATCAAATCAAAATTTCTAGGCAACTTACTTTAATTAGCGTACTTAGCTTATTCCATAATTCTATTAGCTTATCAAATGAACTTATATGTATGAATCACAAATCACATAATATTTAGGAATCATTTTTTACCATAATAACTCCGTCATTGGCTAATCGCAAGTCAATGTTCATTTACTAACATAAGCACAAATTAAATATGCACTCACTTTTGTCACACTATTGAACATTTTCTACGATAATCTTCTCAATCCCGCACTTTTTTCTTCCTTTCAAGTTACTTGGATCACTAGATTTATCTTTGTCTGACGATGTCATATAATAACATAAAATATTCAAATAATATGTTAGTATTGAACTAACATAATCTAAGCTTAAATATAGGATTCAATGGAAATAAAATCAATGCTTAAATCGATACGAAACTAAATCATATTTCCATCGTAATTTCAAACTTCTCAAAAATATTCGTTCAATTTCAAAAATATTTATTGTCATCGTAAACCATTCAACTTTTTCCAATTCCACGATCACGCCACAAATTATGAATTCTTTCTAAAATTCACCTTAACTTTTCTATTAACTTCATAATAGCCCTTCACCATTATGATCATTTCACCTTAATTACTAAAATTTCCAGTGTAACACCCCCAACCCGTACCCGACCCGGATACGGGTCTGAAGTGTCACATTGACTTTTCAAACTTTGACACTTAAAGAAAACAGGGAAATTTTAAACTTTCATTAAAACCAAATACATTAATTTACATAAAAGAGACCACAAAATACAAAAATTGATCAGAGCATTCATAATTAACAACTTATTACATGCCAACACTTTATACACAACCAAAATACCTACTTTGTCAATTACTTCTGATCTGATCTTTTATTAGTGATGCTGTCATTGCCCCTTCTATTACTACTCTTCTTGATTCTTGGTACCTACGCGTAAAAATCACTTACACGCTAAGTCATAGACTTAGTGAGGCATAATATAAATATATAGATATAACAATGCATTCATGAACATGCATTTTTACTATTTGATCATGACATCTTTATTTCACTATAACATATATGATGGTATCATGCACATATAAAACATATATTCTTATGTTAATTCCGCTTTAACTTATCTTTGAATTGCCCATGTACATTATTGAGAACAAAGGTATGTGAGTACATAGAGGTTGTGCACTATGCTGTCACCACAGCTCGTATAATTCCCTCAAGGGGCACTGAATATTTGTCCCGAAGGACCACTGATTGTTCCGAAGAACCACTATGTCCCGAAAGACCACTGATAATCCCTCGACTCTTGGCATGCCAATTATACCTACAACTCTCATATTAAATAACATGGGCTTAATTATAAATACATTTATCATTTCATCTCTTTCATCACTGTCCATATAACCACATAAGTCACTTCATATGATCATTTCCATTATTTTTCACATACCTGGAAGAATTCTATGATAATAGCATTCATTCATATAATTTCACGTTAATCATGAATGAAAAATGCATGGAATCACTATAACATTAACACATATATATATATGCGTGTACATGAATATGAAATCATAAATTCAATGATAAGAGATAGACTTATCGCAAGTCTTATCTCAATTCCATTTCATCTAGGATATGCACTCACCTTAGCCTTGTTTTGACTCGATTCTAATCCTTCGATTGTTCCAGAACGAGATTACGTTCTAAATCTACATAGTAATACATTGATACATATCAGTATACTAATTGATATATTCTAAACTATCACTCCTTAGGCTAAAAAGAAAGCTATTTTTATCTTTTAATGAAGGTATGCATCGATGCACTACACCATGTATCGATGCATCCCTTGACGGGTGCATCGATGCACTATCTATGCATCGGTGCATAAATCCCATTCGATGTTTGTATTTTAAGTAGGTGCATCAATGCGCTCTTTATGCATCGATGCACTAACTGCATTCGATCATTTATTTGAGAGTGCATCGATACACATTGAATGTGCATCGATGCACACAACCCAGAAATTGTATTTTAAGCCCGAAAAATCATCAATTCCTCACTCAATTCTTCTTTTTTAAACCCCTATCATGTCATTAAACCCAACCATCATTACTTAAACCAACTTATATCCATGAAAATCATCTTTAACCTCAAAATCCTATCCCTCATATATAATTCAAGAATCATACTCAAATTTCAATATGTTCTAAATACAGTTCTAACACTTCATATTCCTTAATTAGCATGATGACAAGTCAAATTTAACTTCAAATTCAACTTATCAACTCTTTTCCATAAATTCATTTAAAAACCCATTTTCTTTAATCTCTTATAACTTCTTCATCTTTTGATTATAAGACAACTTAAGCTTTCCGCAAGCTTAATTATCATCTAATGATCAAAACTTAACTTTTAATTTAACAAATAACCAACTAATCAGAAAACTCACATTTGCTCTAGCTTGGTTCACGATGGAGAGAAATGAGAAGGATGAAGAGAACTCTGGAAACTTTGTTTCCTCTCCCCCTCATTTCTCACGTGTATATATCTCATCCTTATCACCTTTTAATTTATTTATTGGTCAAATGACTCTTTTACCCTTCAATTCACTTACTAATTACTAACAATCCTTCCAGATAAATCATTAAACTATTCAATCATCCTACTTTAATCACCAAATTCTGAAGTTTTACAATTTAGTCACTAACCCGTATTTTGGGATGTTACATCCAACATCTTAATAAGATCCTCAAATCAATACTTTAACGTTCACAAACTTGAAATTTCATCCCAAAGTTTCTTAGACTTTTCGAATTCAACCATCCATCTTTATAAACTTGTAATTAAATCCCAACTCAATATTTAAACTAAAAAATCAGCATTGTAAGTTATTGTTCAAAATAATATCAACACATTTTAAAATTCACAAACAAGTCCCTATAATATCAAGACCTTTCGAATTCCACTACTAAATTTTACCAAATTTAAAATTTGGTTCCAAACAACATTATAACTTAAAATTCCAGCATTTCAATTTTATAAATCAACATTGAGTTCCTTAATTAGCATATTTACACGTTAAGATCCCACAATTCCCAAAACTTGCTAAATAACCCTTTTTAATATTTCAAGCTTCCAAATTGATCTCTAAATCACATAGAACACTTCTAATATCAATTCTAGACCCTATGAATTTTTTTAATAGTTTCCCCTAATTTATTCCCCTATGGTCAAATATATTGAGACCCCTAAGGCTTGATTTCCATTAAATTTCAAGCATGAATTCAACTTCCTTATCAAATTCATGCTATTCTAATCATCACAACTTCACACTACATCAAAATCTCAACATTCACAAAAACCCTAATATGGTCAAATGATGTATAAGCTTCTACATATCATTTTAATTATCACACATGCCTTAGAATTAATCTCCAACCTGAAAAACATAATAATCCTTCATCAATTCTTTAAAATCCATAAACCCTACATAAATCCTAATTTTCGATATCTTAAAATAAATATGATCACCATGTAATATTTATACCAAATGATAGAGAATTTCATGTAGATTAATTCTCTATCTAATAGCTTGATCCAAAAATTAATCGAATAAGCTTAAAAATAAAATAAAAATTCTTACCTAAATGGCTACGGAGGTTCGGCCAAAGCAAGGAGAAGTAGCTGAAAATTCATTTGATTTTTCTTGTAATTATCAATTAAAACACTTGGCACTATTCTAATAAAATTGAATTTAAAATTGAATTTATGAGAAATTCCAATTTCACCTTTAATGAATCATGATAATTACCAATTGCCATTAAAATATCTTCTATTAAAATATCTCATAGTCAAAGATGAATCGATTTAGCTTTGACTTTCTACTTTGGCCATGTAATTTTTGAAAATTGTATTTTAGTCACTAAAATTCCACTGTTCGGACAAATCTGAAAAAAATACACTAATATGAACTAAATTTCACAAATCTAAAATATGAAATAACATTTTCAACCCTTAAATAACATCCTTCAAATTTTAGTGAAATTCCGACTCGATCCGATTATCCGATTTTTATACCAAATTTTATCGCTTTATAGTTTTTAACACAAATCTCGTATCAAAAATTCTCACGAAAATTCTTGTTTTAGGTCAAACGGTTCATTTACGGGCTAAAATATATAACTTTTAAAAATTATATTTTGGTCCCTGAATTTTTACAAACTTTAACTTTAGCCACCAAACTTTTAAAACATACATTTTAGTCACTAATCAAAATTTGGGGTATTACCCATACTGATACCAGTGTGCTAGAAAATCAGCCTAAGCTCACTTCATGATAAAAAGTAAACATAGAAGCTTCCCAAGGCTAACAACCTAATCAGAAGGGAAGAAGATGCTAAAATAAACCCCATAGTACAATACTATAGCGATTTTGAACCAAAGGGAAAGACCATGAAACAATGATATCGCTGACTAGTGGAATCAGGTGTCCATTAATAGCAGCAAAGCAACACCTTAACCATCATATCTGGGGAAGCAATTAATTTGTCAAATTCCCTGAAACCTCTTTGTATCTGTTCAATCAAGTCATCACCACCGACAATATCAGCTCCGGCAGTTATTGCTTTATCGAACTTTTCGCCTGTAAAGACATCGTACTTGGAAGAAACGCAAACCAGAAAAGCAACTAATAGTTATATTGATAACCCAAACCAGATAAGATGTTCAACAATCATCAGCAGCCTAAAGTCCTTAGTTTTAGCATTTATCACTATCAAAATTTTGAACTTGGTATGAAAGCTAAGAATCCACTCAATCTCTTACAACAATTGGACATTATCAGAAACAACTACCATTGAAAACCAAGTGAAAAGCAGTAGCCAACTAATACCATGCATCAAAGCAAAGAAACTACTAAATACCTCGAGTAACAACAGCCACTTTAAAAGTTAGCCAATTCCCTAGGGGAAACTCACCTTTAATAATAAGAAAAGGGTGAGAAGAAAAGTAGGATACCAAGAGGGATTTAAATAGAGGTTTACTATAGGTATAGCGGTCACTATCGGAATAGCGGTCAATTATACAGCATCAACAGTATTTCTAAAACCGTTATTATATACCATACTCGTAACGACTGCAATAGCACATATTATGTATTATGTCCATAATCGCTATAAACTCAACGCAACCGAAAATCCGACAGCGCCCCAATTTAAATCCATGCAAGTATAACTTTAACACCAAAGGTGAAAAGTGAAGAAAAAACTAATTGTTGCTCTCAGCTATTGATCACGACGCTTCTTGTTAACTGTATAAAAGTATTATATTTTTTACCCTTTTACTCATAATTATTATTAGACTTGAGTCCATTTTAGTTGCATTATTAGTCTTTCATGCATGATTTCATAGTTTCCTTTACCATTAAGTTTGATATTGTATTTTGGTTGGTTTTTGTGGAAAAGATATTGTTGGTGTGTGTTAATTTGTGCATGATAATGCTGAATAGATAAATTCACCTCATTAACATAATCACGTCAAATAAAAGGAGAGCCCTAAAAAGTTAGAATTCCACGCAGAGTTTTAAGGAGATAAGGAAGTAAAATTTGCAAGGAGTTTTAAGATAAAGATGAAAGAGATTTATTCTCTCTTTTATTCCAACTAAAACTCATCCTCATCAACAATCAATTTGACATAATCTTCTCCTATAAATCAAGAACCGAATGCACAAGAAAATGTGGCGGACGAGAGAGAGAGAAAAGCTGAGCACACACCTTCTTCTTGATTTCTTTTTTATTCATGTTGTTAGGAAATCTTTATCTTGTTTTCTTTTTGCATCCAGCCATGAACTAAATTTATTTGGCTTGGGTTATTAGATTTTTGTGGTTGTGAAAACTTTTAGATTTGTTTAAGTTTTGTCTTGTTAATTTAAAGTTTGTTCTGTAACACCCATAATCCGTATAATTATACCTATACAGATTATAGATGTCACATGAATTTCGAAAACCATTTCCATTTAAACTTTTAATTTGAAATTTATTTCCTTAAAATGGTAACTTATATTATAAAAATATCATATCATATAATTTATATTTTGTTATAGCAAATTTAATTCAAAAGATTTTTTTATGGATAGTAAACAGTAACATTGAACAGTGATGAACAATACCCGTGAACAGTGAACAGTGTACCGATGCACTGCTACAGTGACGTGAACAGTGCACCGATGCACCAAAATTTGAATTATATTTGTGCATCGATGCACTGCTATAGTGACTACTACAGTAACTTCCGAAAATTACATATAAAACTCATAAAAATTAACCTTTCATCACTATCAATTTACCAATTGTTTTCCAAATTAATTCAACAAAACAAATTTAACATTATCAAATTACATGCCGCTATCTAAATCAAATTCCATCATAGGATGTCTTACTGATGTTGAAATATACCTCTCGATGCTTGATGTCGTTCTGGACTCTTTATTCTTATTATTTGCTTCTTACCAACGCGTGAAAATCATCACACGCTAAGTATAAACTTAGTGAGGCAATTTAAAACAATATACAGTGCAATACGAATCATGCATGAATTTCAATGACAAATTCAAAATGCCATAAAATCATTTTATTTGCATAATCAATATTTTACCATTTATTAACCATAAGCTTGTAAGCTTATTTTACCAAAATACTTACCATTTGTACCATAAGCTCGTAAGCTTATTTTACCAATACACTTGCCATTATTCCATAACCATATACCATAGACAATAGCCCAATATACAACCCTGAGGACCCTGGGTACACGAGTCGATTATAAGCACCGTAGTGCTATCCCGAGTATGACACATAAGGTCGTGTCCACCATCTGTACTAGGTATCCTTAAGTACAGTCCCGAATATGACACATAAGGTCGTGCCCACCATATACACTAGGTATCCTTTAGTGTATTCCCGAATATGCAGCCTGTTGTTGGACTATATGGCATGCCAACTATACCCTCTCCCTCAATGACTTACTTAGGCGTACAGTCTATTTTATTTGATCCATCCATGGCAAAGTATATTATCAATATTTAACATTGGGTAGTTCATACCCGAAATAACATTCATGATAAATATCTTATGCAAAAATCAGTGATCAATGCATTTTATTTTCAACCTTTGACATATTTAGAATATATCAAATATATGATAAATGACATAAATATCATGTCAACATAAACAAGATCGACTTATCGCAAGTCTTCCTGATGATGTATAAAACATCCATGTATAATGTCATGCATGTATTGCACTCACCTTGACACTTTATATCTTTCAAAATATGAACCTCACTATGTTCCACAATAAACCCCTTTTATACTTGACTTGCTTCAATCGCAAATCAATCATAATCTGTATAAATCACAATTCATAACAATTACATATGTTAGTATTGTACTAACATAAACACATTCCAAAATATACTTGAACTCATTTTCTATCAAAATACTTAATACTTAATAATTCCTATAACATTGGAACCAACTTTTCCAATTTACCCAAAATGGTCCTTCACCATTTTACCACTTAAATTCTTAATACTCATAATTCCAGCATTAAAATATATTCCCATTCAAATGCTTTTACAAAAGTATAATTACATTTAAGTACACCAACTATACAATTGTTGTACTTAAATCACTAATCTTTTCAAACTTACAAAATAATCATAGTTCACACTTAACACTCATTTCAATTCCAAAACAGCATTTTCCAGCAAAGTACATTAATTATAACTCCTACACAACAACCCATCAATTTTCCATATTCAGACAACTCGTACTACCTTTAAAGAATCAGTATTCTGTATTTATATAAAGACTGGAATTTTAATTCCGTTTCTTCCGTTGAAAACTAGACTCGAATAAGAATCTATCCATATAAATAACTTCTTCTAATTCATTATGTACAATTTATGGTGAATTTTCAAATTTGACCAACAGAATCTGTTTTGCAGAATCTGCTGTCCGATTTTTCTGACCTTTCCTTGGTTAAAAATCCATATCTTTTTTTTATACACATTGAAATTGATCCCCGTTTGTTTTAAACGAAACTAGATCGATATATGAACACAAATATATAAAAATAACCTCGAAATTATTTTTATATAATTTATGGTGAATTTTTGAACCTACTGCCATAGTAAAAATCCAAACTGTTTTCTTTAACTTCATTCTTAGGTTCTTCATCAATTCTTACAACCAATTCTTTAAAATCACTTAACTCTCCATAACTCCTAAAACACAAGAATCAAAATCCCCTTCATCAACTCAAGATGAACTTGAAAATGAAACCATAGTAATATTCATGTCAAAACGTAGAGAATTGAACGTAGAATATTTTTCCTAATCACACCAAAGTCTAATTCTCAACAAGATTGCTTCAAAATTCAAAACAAAATACCTACCTTGCAAGCTTGGGGGTGTCGGTCTTGGATGAAGAAGAAGCTGAAGATGCTCCACCATATTTGATATTCTAATGCTATAATAGATCCAACACATGCTTAATAATATCACAATGGAATTTTTTTATTCCGTTAAATAAGAATTTCTATTTTTGCCCTTAATGAAACTCCATAATCACCATAAAACCAAGCCATCTGATCCTTATCATATTACAAAGTCAAATATGAATTAATTTTACTTTGACTTACGAAAATGCCATGAAATTTTCAAAACATGTGTTTTAGTCACTAAATTCCACTGTTTCAGTTAAATCTGAAAAATTGCACATTTCCAAACCAAATTTCTCTGATCCAAAATATTAAAATAATATTTCCAACCATTTTATAGCATCCTTCAAATTTTTGTAAAATTCCAATTTCATCTGAAATACCGATTTCCTTACCGGCTTTAACCCTTTCTAATTTTTCTTTACTAAAATTCCAAATCCAAAAAATATGATTTCTATAAAAACTCCATTCTCAAGAGTAAACCATCTATTTATGGAATAAAATTATTTTTGGGAAATTATCACTTAATTCCCTAAACTTTTCCCAATTTTCTACTTTGACCAACAAACTTTCAAAATTTTCATTTTGATCATTGTCTACATTCTCCCCTGCTTAAGAAAATTCGTCCTCGAATTTTAAAACTTTCTATGAAAACCGTAACTCCCCTTTTATAAGGATTACACTTTCCATTGTAAATTCGTAACCCTAATTTAGGGTTATACGAACTGGTAAAACATACTTTCGCCTTATGCGAAAACCTCTTCTGCCAACTTCTTGAATTCCGATTTTTCCTCTTTACTTTGGGAATTTTGTAAAGATCATGCAAATCATTAGATTTTGAACCTGTATAATCCAAAACTTCAACATGATATGAAGATGTTTAGATATTATTTCTTCATATTATCCTCTCTTTCCCAAGTAACGACCTCAACATTATGATTTTACTAAATCACTTTGACTAGAGAAATCATCATGTTATGCAGTTCTTTGATTTCTCGAGCTAATATCCGAACTGGTTCTTCTTTATAAGTCAAATCTGGTCGGATCTTAATTTCCTCTGATGCAATGACATGTGAAAGATTCATTCGATACTTTCTAAGCATCGACACATGAAAAACATTGTGTACTTTGTCTAACTCTGGATCTCAATTACCTCCATAATTAATCTTAACTGATAAGCCATCAGTCTAACTCTTTTTAATATCTCATAAGGTTCAATAAATCTTAGACTTATTTTTCCTTTGTTTTTGGGCACAAATTTTTTTTTCCAAGGCGATACCTTAAGAAAAACTTTATCACCTTCATGGAATTCAATCTCTTTCACTTCAAGGCTACATAAGACTTTTGCCAATCAAATATCATCTTAAGATAATCTTTACTTTATCCTCAACCCATTTCAATAAAAATCTAGGCCAACAAGATTTTGATATTTTAACTTGAACCAATTTAATGGTGTTCGACATTTTCTCCCATGTCAAGCTTCATATGGGGCCATCTTGTTACTCAATTAGTAGTTGTTATTGTAGATAAATTCTACTAAAATCAAATACTTTTCTTTTC